CCCGCCCCGAAGACGCCTGAGAAAACCCCCCGAATAAAAAAACCGAATAAAAAAAAGCGCGCGCGAACGAGTCGGAGGACTGCGTCATGTTCTCATCGAACTGGGTCAGTGGGTCTCCCCACTACAGGCCACCAGTAGTCGGCGCACATCGGACGAAGCGTCGCGAGAGTGCGAGGAGGCACAAGTGCGAGGGAGAGGGTTGCATTACCATAAGAAAGATGGAGCGATAAAGGAGTTGTGGTAGGACAAGGGGTACGCGACGGGGAGGGATTCGAGACAACTCGCTGGGTGAGGGGGTGAGCAGGGGCAAAGAGAGAGGGAAATACGTTGAGCGCGGCACACAGCTAAACGCTCGGGGAGTGCCAACGGCGTTGCTGTTGACCCAGCCACAGCCCCGTGTGTTGGATGCCGTGCCTTGTCCATGCCAGGCCCCTCTTCACAATTTTTCATTTTAATTCTCCACGATGATTCAAGATTATCAAACCCCACTGAAAGCAAGAGTTATCCCATCCTCGACTCATTATTTTATCATCAAACATTATTCTCGTTTGAACGCGACTGAAACGAGATATCTCTCCTCTCTTTTTCATTTTATCGATTTCACGTGTGACGTAACCTTGTGTAACCCTTCATTAAAACCCATCGAAAATCGCTGGTGCGAGTGGGTGGGATCTCCTAAATCCATCCAAACGTAACTTTCACCTCACCGCAGACCCACCCACCGAATACCCGAAATAATGAAACAAAGAGGCGAGGGAATGGCTGATTTAAACATGCAAATTACATCAAAGTTCCCTGTCGATATTAATTCGAGTCACTCATCCAGGCTCGTTAGATTGTTTGAAAAAACATTCAAAGTTCGTGGATAATTCAGCTGTAATTTCCATGAGAATGTCGTTAAAATCGATTTAGGAGAATAATTGAATTATCAGCTCAATATGAATATTCAGTTTTCAACGAGTATCTCTGATTTCAAGGCAGATGAGAAAATTTTCGTTATAACCTTTTTTGTAGCTCTTAACTCGCTCTACAAAAAAGGTAATAACAAAAATTTTCCCATCTCCCTCAGAATTATAAAAAAACCAATGGAATTCTCATTTTCTAATACCAAAATTCCCTGAAATTTCAGATCGCTAAAGCCCCGGCGATGTAAAAATCAAAAACCAAAAAACTCTGCATAATTAACCCCCAAAGCCTCCCCTCAACAAGAGCTCCTCACTCCAACCACGTGCTCTCCCCCAAATAACCCTGCATTAACCCCCAACCCTCCCCGGTCCCCGCAAGTGTCGAGGGGGTGACAGCCAAGACTGTCTCATGTAAAAGAAAAAAGCAGAGCGACAAAACTTGTCGCGGTACTTTGGAGTATCGCGCAAACTCGGACAATATTTCTCCCGCCGACATAGACCTGGTTCCGTAAGTAGGTCATCCCCACTGCTCATTCCAATCCCGCGCAGCCTCACGGTGCCCCTCTCGCCCTCCCCGCGTCCCCCCGCGCCACCTCAGCCCTCCTCAGTGCCCACTCTTCCTCCCTCCTCCACCTCACCGTCCAGCCTCAACCCCTTCCACACCCGCCGAATTCCCCCTACCTCCTGGACTGGCGCGCTCATGGTGGCACCTGGCCGCGCGGTTCTGGCATGCGCCGCTGGATCACTTTCACTTATTCCTCGTTGCGACTCTTTTCTTCTTCAACTTGGAAGCAAAAATGGACAATTTTTGAGACTGAAATTACCGTAAAGAAATCAACCACAAATTCCTGGATCAATCCACTTCCCCGGGGCATTGTTACACTCGAGGATTTTTTAATCGACAATTTTTCGTTCATTCCGCGAAAGGGCGTGAGTGATCCGGAGAGCAGTCTGTGTACGTGGGGACCAGAACCACTTGTCCACCCCCTCTCCCCAAAGTGTTGAAAAAAACCCCGCAAGACATTATTATTACTTTCATCGAGTTGACAATTCTCCCGAATTTCATTAAAAATCATTGAAAAAATGTTGGGCTGGTGGCGGCGTAGGGTGGCCGGCGCTCGCGCGTGGTAGTTTTTCAAGTATAAAACGCCAAAGTGATGCCAGCATTACGTACGTAAAATCGTGGAGGAGGGTGGAAGCGGGGAGGGGGGTACTTACACCACGAACAGAGGCACAAGCACAGAAGGGGGCGGGCCCTTCAGGAGAGCAACGAGGCGAGAAGACAGCTAGTCGCACGCAGATAGTCGAGCTGTCAGGTCGCACTAACACCCGGGCTCCGGTTGTTTTCATAATTCAAAAACATTCAATTAGNACGAAGTTATTACGCCCCCCCCCCAGTCAAGTCGGTTTATTGTTTACACGCGCCAACACCCCCCGGTTTATCACTAGTTACTGACCAAGTTTATCGAATGATCCAAATAATACTGGTGTTGAATTATCGAAGCATAAGTGAACAAGTGTTGACTTGGGATTGCAGTGAAGGAAAAGATTACCCTAAGATATTTAACTGTGAGAATAATTAAATATGGTTCGGACGTATGAATCGATCCATGTGACGATGCGCGTGACGAGATGAGGCATTTATTAATTGCCGTCGACAGTGTGTGAAAGAGTGCCTGTGAATGCCCACAAAACTCACAACTCTCATCGATAAATTATCCCAAATCCCCAGTCCCCCCGAGTAGTTGTTAATTATTTCGCTTCAACAACAAACCCGAAATCGTTGGTTTAGCCCCATATGTGCCGGGTGTATGAGCCTCGTTCTGGGGTGATATGTTATTGGACATGGAGCAACATTCGGGTCTGATGTCCCTGAACATGTCGCCATTTCACTTGAGCCCACAGGGCAGTCCCCATGGACCCACTGGTGCCCAACAACAACAGCAACAACAACAACAACAACAACAGCAACAATCCAATCAATACACCCAATCGCCGTATGCAAGTTGTGCACAGAGTCCCCCAACGACAATGTGCCAACAGCAATCACAAACACAATTATCAAATCACAGTCAGAGCTCACAGTCGAGTCAATCGGGTAGTACAACACAGAGTGGCAATGTACTTGGTTTTGAATCAGCATTTTTCGATGCTATTGCACTTGAGGAGAGGTGCCCAATGTGTGGTGATAAAATGTCGGGTTATCAGTATGGTTTATTGACGTGTGAATCGTGCAAGGGATTTTTCAAGCGCAATAGTTCACCGTGCAGCAATAAAAAAGTTTACACGTGTTTATTTTCGCCAACAGGGGGTGGTAATTGCGGTACATCTGGTGGTGGTATTGAGACAAGTGGTAATTATCAAAGTGGCAATAGTAACAACAGTAGTAATGCCAATAGTACCAATGGCAATGCCACCGGTGGAACAACTGGTGGTGGTAATGGCGCTGGCGCTACCAATAGTAATACCAATCAGAATGTCGCTAGTTCTGGACAAGTACCTGGTAATGTATGCCATCCGGGCATTGGACAAGTTGGCATTGTCACTGGTTCTGTACCGGGTACATCAGAATTTCCAGATACAAAGGATGTTATTGAGGAATTGTGCCCAGTTTGTGGTGATAAAGTATCGGGTTATCATTATGGCCTTCTTACCTGCGAATCCTGCAAGGGTTTCTTCAAACGTACTGTACAGAATAAAAAGGTTTACACGTGTGTTGCTGAGAGATCGTGTCATATCGATAAAACACAGAGGAAGAGGTGTCCATTCTGCAGGTTCCAGAAGTGCCTAGAGGTTGGCATGAAACTCGAAGGTGAGTCACATTATTTTTCTTGCATTATGCTTCTTTATTCGTATACTAATATTGGGTGAGAATGAG